ATTAGTAGTAACAAGAAGCTAGTAGTAACAAGTGCATCGCTACTAGTTGTGAACTGCGGACCGACTCACTCGTCCCTTCTCGGCGCCGCATAGGCGCTGTGAGATTTGGCGCTGCGAGCGCCGGTCGAACCTGGTGACCTCTGCCACCTCTTCGCAGCCCAAGGTGGGAAATGTGCGTTTGCGAACGGGACATGGTCAGCTAAGTGAACAGTTAAGATGCACTTGTAGGGGATGAACAGTTCCCAGTCCCATTTTTGTGAACTATGTCTTTGGAGTCTTGATTTATCCACCTCTGACCCAGCCAGCTATGAGTTTTTGGTGATGCTTCTGTTGATCACTGGCGAATTTGGTTCAGAAGTGGTCCGCTCAATGCATTTGTTTGCGCATAGCTGCATAGCTAGAGCAGGTTTTTCGGCAAAGCATACCGAACCTGGTCGCAGTCTCCATAGTAGGTTAGAGGCCATCTCAGAAGCATTCTTGTCAAGAGGCGGAGTTCTTTCGCACCAGGAGCTGTTCAGCGAGCTTTGTGACTACGATGAGGAGGCGGCAGGCTACCAAGGCACCCAGCGGAGGCGCATCGCCGAGGTAGACCAGCCGCCTTTCTCATTTCTTTCTTCTTCCCAACGGCTTTCACTGCATAGCGATGGCCTCCAACCTAGTAGCGATGGCCGACACTTGCACGGCAGCCTCGAGGTATGAATCCCAACGGATATGCAGCAGCCTCATGCCACTGACTCACGGATACCGTTGAACGTCACCACGTCACCACGTCACATCAAATACCATTCGGTCGTGGCCTTTCTCCGTGATTTTGATTTTGGCTTTGCGAATGGGCTGTTCTTTTCTCTCCGTATGTGGAAACAACCCTGCACGGCGCAAGTAGTCTCAACTCTAAAATTGATTGCTACTCTCCTGATCCGGTCGCTACTGGCGGTGAAAACGTAACTGGTTGAGGACGCCGAACACCAAGGTCACAGTGTAAACCGCTGTAGACCCGTGTTTTCTTCCCAATCCGGTCTGCGATCGCCAGGTCTCCCGTCTACATCCAGCTTTGGGAGTGGAATTTCGAGGACATCGCCAAGGCGACCGTGAACAGCGGAACTCGAATGGGACGGGGGTGGGTTCTGGGGGGAAGAAGACTCAAGAGGACTATGTAGTTGCCCAAAACCGGCCGGCGACCGCCCAAACATACCACGCTCTCTCTTTTGAAGAACCAGTTTGCCACTTGGTCGAACTCAGGTTGTCATGGCAACCGGAAAAAATTGACAAGTGTGCGGGTGTGCGGGGATCATGGGGTAGAGGACGCTACTAGGAGCAAAGTGCATCGCTACTAGGAACAAGAAGCTATTAAGGGCTCCTGGCATCGCTACTAGGAGCAAGGACCCTACTAGGAGCAAGGACGCTATAGTCTTTCCCTTCCACCACCTGGTCTTCCTGTCATCCTCATTCAAATCGGCATGTTAGGCAGAGGCAAATTCATGTCATACATGGTAAGGAAAGTGAATGTAAACCAAATACTCTGGACAACTCAATTGTGTCTTTACAAAAGGCTAGGTTGGAGGCCTTCTCTGGTAGATTGGAGACTATCGCTCATAACTTGGAGGCCATCGCTCTTAGGTTGGAGGCCATCGCTAGTAGGTTGGAGGCCATCTCTGTATCGCGCTCATAAGTTGGAGGCCATCGCTCTTAGGTTGGAGGCCATCGCTAGTGGGTTGGAGGTGGGTTGGAGTCCATCTCTGGTAGGTTGGAGACTATCGCTCATAAGTTGGAGGCCATCACTCTTAGGTTGGAGGCCATCGCTAGTAGGTTGGAGGCCATCATTCCATCGCTAGTAGTTGGAAGCCATCCCTAGTAGGTTGGAGGCCATTGCTTCTTTTGTTTTTGTTTTCTTGGTGCAAAGGCTAGGTGGAGAAAGCCGTGAAGTTTTCGGACTCACACGCGAAACAACGGATTTCTACGTCGTTCCTTCCGGGCGTTGAGGAGTGCGTGCGATACTTGGGGCCCAACGGCATCAGCGGTGTGCAAATCTCGCCGGTGACAGAGCACATCCTGGGGACCCAGTGGTACACCAAGTATCAGCCTATAGGCACAGACGGGAGCAAGATGCATTTGAGGGTGGAGTTGGGTGCCATAAGGTGGTTTGTACTTAGATCCATGAAAGCTTTTATCAGATCTAATCTAAGTGGTATGTAAATGAACATGTAATTACAGTATATAAGACATTTAGTCAAGATTCACTTGCGGAGGTGACACAGCACATATCAGGGTATTTACCTTGAGATTGCATCATGTGAACCTAAGATGACCCTCCAAGTGCGAAGTGGAACCATAGAACCGCTGTTCCAGGAGGGGCATGTACCAACCCGGTGCATGGTCGCTGTTAGCAGGGGATCGAGATTGGACAACTTCCAACCTACTAGCGATGGCCTCCAACCTAATTAGTAGGGATCGGCTCCACAGTAGCATTGGGGGGGCGGATTAAAGTAACTTGGGGAAATGATTTGTGAACTTCCAAGAGCCCTCGTCCACCATCTCCGGCCTGCCGTCTCCAAGTTTGCCACGCTTTTGGCGGAAGGCTTTGGACTCAACAGCCGTTCTGGCAATATGGACCCTTGATTGCATTTTATGTGGCCTTTGTAGTTCGGCTTGTAACCACCTGTGACATATTCACCCAGAAATCAGCATCAAACATTTCAATGTTCAAGCGTGTTTCTTTTTTTGAATCGGTTGAGGTGTTTGGGGTCCCATTTATCTTGTCCCAGCAAATGTCATGTTTTTTCACACCTGGAATCCAAATCAGGGACATTTTTTCCTGAAACTCCACCAAGCGGAGAATGAGAATCAAACACCTTTGATCACACCAAGTGAAGTGGTCCAGGTGGGAATCTAGACGGGTTCTTTTGCATGTCCCTTCAAGTTCAAGAACTGACACGGAGAAGGTGGAAAAAAACGGTGCCATAACCGCACTTTTAAACAGACATGCAATGACATGATAGATATTGAATGTATTGGGTAGGACCATCACTACGAACGGAGCAAGAAGCTACTGGCAGCTCCTGGCCTCAAGAAGCTACTAGGCTCCTGGCATCGCTACGAACGGAGCAAGAATCTACCAGCTTGGAGGCCATCGCTAGTAGCCATAGCCAAAGTCGTGGGTGTCTCGGAGCCCGTGCAGTTGGATCGGCCGAAGAAGACCGTCACTCCACACGGGACCATCTTTGGTTGCGAACAAGGAAGACCATCACTCCACACTCACGATATCTCATGGAAACACATCCTCTCCCACGCGTGGCACGCTTAAAACATCAAAAGACCAGTCATCATTCTCACGATTTCAGTCGTGTTCTTGTTCAGGAGCAGCTTGTCAAGATGATCATTGCCTGCCGCTCCGCCGGGGTGCAGGCGTCGGCCGCGCGCAGTTTTCCCGGCTGTTCGACGGGCCTACGAATCTGGACGTCGGCTGCGCGCGGAAGAACACGACTTCTTGTTCAGAGTCTCGAGTTCCTAGAAGCAACACAAGCAAGCGATTGGTCGCTTCTTGGGTTGGAATTAGCGAAGGGAGGAGCAGACTGAATGGATCCTTTTGGTTGGGCTCTGGGGACATTGGTGCTTGCGGTGAATTACGCCAACGGCCTCCAGTAGACCTCTCGGAGGCCGATCGGAGGGGTCCCTTGCTGACACAGACCCCTGAAAACTTGAACCGAACACATGTTCTTACGATGTAGGCACGTGCTTGTCTCAAAAGACTTCATAGCCGACTGACCAAAGGGTGGGCTAGTGATGTTTCTTTAGAATGAGCTACACAGGAAAACCAGACTTTTCGGTCCATTGTCGGCTCAAAGACGAGGCGTGCGGCGTGTGTCCCAAATGGGTTGCCAACCATTGTGTCGAACACTCTGTCTATTGCAGACAAAAGGTCGTACACGTAGTACTGAACACTTTGACACCAAGTGTCCGAAGAATTTCTGTTCCACAACTCACCTTCCACCTCTGAGAATTCCGTTTGGAGGTGCATTTCCAACACATGCAGTAGCTGCTCTGCTGAGGATGCACGTTTGGTGGGTCGGTAGGGTACCCCAAAGAACCTGGACCTCCAACCTACTAGCGATGGCCTCCAACTTATGAGCGATAGCCTCCAACCTATAATAGCGATAGCCTCCAACTTATGAGCGATGGCCTCTAACCTCCGACCAGAAGGTTCTCGCACCGAAGTTGAACCGCAGCCTGTCGCTCAAACCGTCATCGCCTACCGCATCCTGAAACGACATGTCTCGCACCGTGGTCCTCTCCGTCCTCTTGGCACCTTGGCGTTCGCTGTCGACCCGATGATCACTTCGCGCAAAAAGGACACCTCAAAACGTCAATGGGGATCAATGGAAGAGGACAATTGGGTTGGAGGCCTTCGTTATTAGGTTACACAAGCAAGGTCTAAAGAAAAGAAGAAAACAAAGGACAATTTTTTGGCCATGGCTTGCCAGGTCCATAGGCTGAATAACACGCTTGAAGGTAGAGGTTTGACGAAACGATTTCCAGACGATTTAGGGTAGAGGGGCTAGTGTCTCAACCCCATTTGAAGGTAGGAGCAATGTCAAGATTTGCACACCAAGCTTCTCAAAATCAGGATGATAGGATCACATATGACATCCTCTATTTTTTGAGGGTTGACACCGGTTGACACCGTATTTCCTGCATTTCTCCTCGAATCGCAGAACTTTCCGGTTTCAATCCCTTGAGCCAATGACGCCCTCCCTCGCTGTCGCACCCGAGGCTCCCCTATTCTTCGCTCGAGGAGAAGAATGTTCACTCCTGCAGAGGAATAGCCACAACAGCCATGCAACCTGCTAAGGATTTTGTCGTGATTCTTTGGACTTGTCGTCCCAAACCTGTTCACACGGATTCTAAGCTTTTCTTCTTCGGATTCAGACGGCGTCCAGGATTTTGAGCCGTCCAGCCCCTTTTGATGTGTCATCATGGATATATGGTGACATACCCAGGTGAAGGTTAAAAAAACATCTTCCCAACGTTGGTCTAAATTGAACAGCCAAGAATAAGGAAGCCACTGTCCTTCTCTCTAAGATTGCCCAGAGCCAGAAACAAACCATTTTCTTTTTTTCAGTCATTGAAATTAAGTACAATCCTTTTGGATCACCAGGGAAAACAAAGTTGTTTCTTCTTTCCTTTTGAGCCATTCAGTCCAAGGTAGGGCCCAGCGAGATTCCATGCACGATCCACCAGTGCTTCGGAGGATTTCAGCATTTTCGACTGTTGGGTTCCGGTTCCGCTGGTGCAAAGCAGCTACTAGTAGCATTGTTGCTACTAGGAACAAAGGGCATCGCTACTAGGAACAAGGACGCTACTAGGGGCTCCTGGCATCGCTACTAGGAACAAGGGTGTTGGGTTCGATTCCAGGGTTCGATTGTTGGGCTACTAGGAACCACCGAGGAGGTTAGGAGGTTTGTCGGTGCCTGGCGCCCTGTTCTTTCTGTGCGGTTCCCGCGGTTAGTCACTCCCCAATTGGTTTTGTGAAGTGGGAGTCCCTCTCCCTCTCGCTCTCCCTCCTCGCGTCCCTTTCTTGAGTGTTTGAAAAAGTCGAAGCAATCCGAAGCCAGACCCTGTCAATTGGTTTTCGGATTTGTTGCAATTTCACCCGTGTCCGGCTGACAAAAAGGCGCTGACAAAAAGGTGCTGGTGGACGGGCTGCGGCTACGGGGTGTTGATATGGTTTTTTCTCACCGAGTACCACTGGCTACGCCAGCGAGTACCACTGGCCGGTCGTCACGTGACCGGCGGTGGGGGGGCTGCGAGTCAACCTAGAAGCGATGGCCTCCGACCTAAGCCTTCATGATCTGTTTCAGGATGGGTCAGATTCAGATATCTTAACGCTTCTTCGATGGGAAGGCGATAGTCTGGGAGTTTGGTGGAAGGTGAGTTCATTTGGGGCGCTTTTCTGCTTCGACTTCTCCGGGAGACCGTGGCCCGAAACTCGTGGACTCTTGTGAAAGAAGAACACCGGTCACACTTTAAGTTTCCCACAAAATCTAGGAACCAAATCATTAGCGCGAGCTCTCCTGCGTCCTAGGTAGTAGCTTACTTGCAGCTAGTAGCTACCTCAATTCCTTACCTAATTAAGTAGGCGCCCCACTTAATTAAGTAGGGAGGGGGGGAGCGGGCCAAAAAAAGAAAACCATTGTTGCGGAGACTCGTCCGTGTGGAGCTAAGGACTTGGAAGACCCACACGGTGGATCCGGAAGCGCGGCGCCATGTGGCTCGGCGTTTGATGGCGGACTTGGTCGGATCCGCGGTCTAAAGGTCACATGTTAAAACGGTCTAAAGGTCTAAAGAAAGCTAGTAGCTTCTAGAAGCACTAGTAGCGTCCTTGTTACTACTAGTAAGGCACTTGTTACTAGAAGCGATGCGTGTTGGTCGAAGGTTTTCAGGTTTGGCTTTCGGCTCGGTGTGCAAACGCGCCGGAGTGAAAATTTGGCGCGTCTAAATTGTTGGCATTTTGCTCGAAGGAGTGAAAAAAGGCCGTCCTTTGTGACTGGTGGAGGATCTCAGCGGTCGGAAAAACTCATGTTTGTTCGATCCCTGTGTCTATGTTCTCACCTGGAGTTATGGATCTTGATCCAGAACGGGGTTCTGAGCAGGCAGACTCTGCTGTCACGCAGGGACTTCAAGTTCACAGCGTGTATTAAGCCATCGTTCCTGAAGTCTTAAGTTTCCCTAAAAATCTAGGAACCAAATGTTTGGTGCGAGGGCTTCTTCAAGGAAGCTCCCCCGGCCCTCAGGCGCGGGGAACTTCCTTAAGAGCAAACTTAATTCAGTAAGCTCCTACTGAATTAAGTAGGACGTCGGCCCGAACAAATAGACCAACGCTTTCTCTTAAAACCTTTATTTTTTTTCCGACAGCTTGGCATCGCTTCTTCGAGGTGAAGACCTGGAAGGAGAAGAACCCTTCATGCGCCTATGTCCTCTGGAACGATACAGAGGTGGCCCAATTGGCGACTCGAAGCATTCCAACCTGCGCCTCTCGTGCGCGAGTGGTCGGACCAGGCGTAACAGCCAAGCAGGTCGTTCGGAACGGCTCACTTCCGAGTCGAAGCGTTTCTAGAGTGTTCATGCTGCGCTGAGAGACTGGTACCACCGGAAATGCCAAAAGCGCTCTGAGTATGATTAGGTTCTCAGACAAAGTCCCACAATCCATGTCAACATCAATGATCGAACTTTAATTTTGCGGTGGGGTGATCAAATCATATCGCTGATCACGCTGGGATTATATAATACCCTGACGGGTTCTTTGGGACATATTGGGAGGTAACGACTTTCCTCCTGGACCAAAAGAGCAAGAAGGAGACAAAGAGCTTGCGTTGCTAATAGGTTGGAGGCCATTGCTATGGAGGGGCTTTTTTTTTAGAGATATGTTTTTCTCGTTTTTTTTTTCATTCTTTTTTTTGGATTCTGCTTTTGCTGCTTTTCTGCTTTTGCTGCTTTTCTGCTTCTGCTGCTTTTTGTTTTGTTGCTTTTCTGCTTTTTGTGTTTTTGTCTTTCTGCTCTTTGCTTTTGTTGCTTTTCTGCTTTGGCAGCTGTTCTCCTTTCTCTCTTTGTTTTTGCTTTTCCATTTGTTTGCTTTGCAGAGAAGAAACCAAACAAGGAAGCAAGCAAGCAAGCAAGCAAGCAAGTAAGCAAGCAAGCACGAGCTGCTCACCTTTGGATCTGGTGTGCTGCTGGGGGGGCCGCTGCGCCCCCCCCCCAACCCCCCCGTGCGCCACGAAATCTGCACTTCATCTCCGACACCCGCGCCTGCCACGAAATCAATATTTTAAGGTGAACTCCCCGGTGCAAAAACTTCTAACCAACCAAATATGCCCTTTGCTGTTTCTCTGCTAACTGCACCCAACTGTTGTGATAGGTAGGAATTTATCCGACACCTACACTATTCCAATGTATCTTGCCAGCTACGACAGCTCCCAAATGTGAAACCTGCACTATTCTAATGTATTTGGCCAGCTACGACACCCGTGTCTCTGCTAAGGACACGAAATTGCTGTAATTAGCTAGCTGCTAATAAGAAACCCGCTCTATCCCAATGTTTTTGAAACATATTCCCGAAAACAGATGAAACAATTCCCAGATTAAAAGCGCACCCCATTGCTATTAGGTTGAACACAAAGAGCTTGTGTCGCCCCTTTGTGGGTCGATGTCACCACACGGAAGGCCGTTTGATGTCCCCGTAAGGGCTCGGCCCGAGCACCGGTGAAGGCAGAAGGAGCTTATTCGCATGCAGATGGGCGAATCCAACAGTAAAGACGTGTGTTTGTGCAGTGTATGCCACAGAAACCTGCATGTAGCACGCCGTAGTGCTTGTGTACGGCCTATAGTCTCACTTGCAATGACTTTTACTC